AGACAGTTGACCGTGCACTGTGGCTCACACCTGTAATCTCAGCACTCTGGGAGGGAAGGTGCGGTAGAAGGATCACTTAAGGCCAAGAGTTTGAGACCAACCTGGCTACGATCACAGTGAAACTCTGTCTCTACTAAAAGTAGAAAAAATTATCTGGGCGTGGTGGTGCCCTCCTGTAGTAATCCCAGCTACTCGGGAGGCTGAGGCAAGAGAATTGCTTGAACCTGGGAGGCGGAGGTTTTTTAGCGAGCCGAGATTTCATCCCTGCACTCCAGCCTGGGTGACAGAGTGAGACTGTCTTTAAAAAAAAAAAAAAAAACAAACCCAGACGTGGTAGCTCACACCTGTAATTCCAGCACTTTGGGAGGCTGAGATGGGTGGAACACGAGGTCAGGAGTTCGAGACCAGCCTGGCCAACATGGTGAAACCCTGTGTCTACTAAAAATGCAAAAATTAGCCAGGCATGGTGGTGGGCGCCTATAATCCCAGCTACTCAGGAGATCGAGGCAGGGGACTCGCTTGAACCCAGGAGGCGGATGTTGCAGTGAGCTTGAGATCACACCATTGCACTCCAGTCTGGGTGACGTAGTATGACACTGTTCCCCCACCACCCAAAAAAGACAGTTACACTGTGAAGATTTGTAGTTTTGACTGAAAGGACGAACCAAAGCAATAAAACAAACAAAACCCCACTTATAATACAGGTAGAGTAATAGCATGCTCATGTATATTGATTTGGCAAGTCTGTGAATCAGGTCCCAAAAATTGTATATTCAGTTTAGTGAGGCCAATGGAATTTTTGAAGTATAGATGTAGAAATGTTGGCATTAACGAATGTCGTATGTATTGGGATTATGACAGTGTGACTACTGACATGGTAGTGTGTCAGTCCTTTTTATAGAATGTCCATTGGTTGAGAAAATTCCAGAATAGCAATTTTAAGGTTTAAGGTTTGTATTTCATCACAAAATAAACATTCATTTTATAAAATTTAGAAAATACAGATAAGAATGACAATTCCCTGCAGTTTTTCTCTTCTGAGATAAATACTGTTTACATTTTGTATATAATTCACCATTTATTTCCCTGCACATAACTACTTTTTCTCTTTTTGAAAAACAAATATATGTAATCTGCATATTGCTTTACAACACACTTTTTCTACATAAAGCAGTATTTTCATTGTTGTTATTCTGCTATGCCAATTTGTTTGTTGAACATCTACTGTGATACAGAGACAGGAGATCTAGTGATAATTTCCCCCAAGTAGTAGATAATGCCACTGGAGTGAGTATATAACATAAATAATTAACAGAATATAGCAGGAATATATGCAAGTTAAGAGGAGAGGCTACAGTAACATTCAGTGGGATGAAGGCAAATTGAGGTAATCTTGAAGATGGATGGGCAAGAAAGGGGCAAATTTTAGGTAGGAGAAATAAGCACTAATGCAGAAGGGGCTTAAATGTATTTTATGGAGTGTCACATTGAACTGAGTTCAGGGGAGTAAGATAAGACCATATGTTTCTAAATTATAGAGGGGTTAAATCCAGCTTGAAAGTCCTATGTCTCAGAACAGGATGTGTAGCAGCTTACGTACAATGAATTAGGGCAGGGGATAGGGATTTTTAAGCACAGTAGTTCCCAAACTTGGCTGGGTCCAGGATTCATTTGTAACATCTTGTTAAAACAAAACACATGTTCTTAGGTCCTTGTCCAGGCTTCCTGAATCAGGATTTTTGGGAGTAGAGTCTAATCTAGGGAATCTCCCCTAGCGTTTCTGACATAACCATCAGGTGTAGCAGATACTTAATTCCAGGAGGCATTTGGTGGAATACTTAACGGTGAATTAAGGACTTGGATCAAGTGACTAAAGTGAGCATGGAGAAGAATGGAAAGGCATGAGGGACTTTGAAAATGGATAGGATTTAGTAAACCATTTAGAATAGATAAAGTCAGCAGCTTGTAATGAAATTACTGAAAGAATGGTGGTGCAGGGAATAGAGATGGGACGTTCGATTGGAGAACGTGTTGGGCAGGAAGGTGATGAGGACTTGTAGGCACAGAGAGTGGAGGCAGGGATATGGCACTGTAGGCAGCCACCCAGCAGCTTGTTAGACTGGATGTTGAGTGAGAAGTTAGAGCAGAGAAGAGAGTTTGAAGTATTAGTTTGGAGTAAACATTTGAAAATATTTCTTTTGCAGAAAGATGTATAGAGAAATGAGTGGAGTGGCCAGGAGATAGAACCAGAGGTTACATCTGAGGTTAGAGCTAAATGTGAAAGAGACATTGGATTATTTGGAAGATAACTAGTGTTGTAAAATACAAGAACATAAATTTTAAGAATTTTTAAGCGGGGGCGGGGGGCAGCATTTCTCTGTAAACTCCACAAAAATGTGGGAGGGAAAGTAAGTAAAACTGAACTCATTTTACTACTTTTAGCAATAGACTCATTGGAAGAAAACGTAAGCTGTAATGACAGAGTGTGTTTTTGATTATCTTCTGTGCCTTGTTATTTTTCTGTATTTCTGAGATGCAAGGATAATTAAAAGCAATGGTTTATAAAATGATATATAATTACATACATATAAAAGTACATATAACCAACTAAGTATATGTATGCATGCACTTGTGCAAATCAATTACATATTAACATTTTATATATACATTATATATGTGTGTACATATCGTATTACAGAACATCCTGTATAGAAAAGTTGGTACTGTCGGAAAGGAGAGAGAGCAAGGGGTTTTCCAGTACATTTCTTATAAGCTAGTTATGAGAAGGGCTTACAGGCTACTGATTCCACATATTCTTTCTAAATGTCTTCTGTCTGATAGATACTGCTTGGTTTAGGGAATGCATGCATAAATGAGATTACCCTAGATGTTCAGGTTAGTGAGGGAAACCTTACAGTAGATAACACAAAGTGCTAGATCTCAACTTTGATTCCCAGAGGAATCACCTAGAGGGTCATTGGGCCACCCCTTTAAAGTTCCTCTTAAGATCTAGAATTGATTTGAATAATTAGACAGTTTGAGCACATTATGTGTAGGTGACATAAAAGAACATCCTTAAGCAAGCATGTCAGTTAAAGAGATTTGTCTTCATGGCTCTTGGCATTTCCTTCATACCACTTTGCTCTTAGAGTTCCTGTTAGCAGAGGGAAGAAGCAAGCTCTAAGGTTAAAATTCATGCTACTGAAAATTAGAAACAAGCCACATACCCCCAATAGGTGTTTGCTTAAAATGCATTTACATTTTTGCGATGGAGTACTGTGCACCTGCTAAAATGATGATGCAAATATAAATTGTTGATATAAAGATAATTTTTTTTTTTTTAAAAGAGCAGAGATTCCAACACCAAACTTCAGGTGGTGGAATTTTATTAGGTTGGTGCAAAGGTAATACGGTTTTTGCCCTTGGAATATTGGGCTGTTGGTGATACCCGTTAACCAAGACTAAGAATACAAAAAAGGAGAAGAGGATTTTTTCACCTGTCTTCCCTGCTCTTTCCTCCCTTTTTGAGCAGGGGAAATGGTAGATTCAGTTTAATATGGTGAAAAGCAGTGACTTTGTAGTCAGTTTGCTTGGATTTGAATTATCTCTATGTTATTAGTTGTGTGTGACTTGGGATGGCTTCACTTCACCTCTCTGTGCCTTAGTTTTCTCAGCTGGACAATGGAAATGATAGTGGTACTTACTTTATGTAATTATTTATGGGGTTTAGTGGTTTAGAGTATTTATACCAGTGCCCATTAAAGGTAAGTCATCCCATGCAGTGAAGGATAACTGACTTTCAGGCTCAGTTCATTGAGGTCTTCTGGGCCTGGAACTTTTATAAGCCCACCTTATAAAAGTTGCCTTAATTTGACATACTGCGTACTAAAGTAGTTCTTAACGTGTAGGCTTTTAACTAACTGTCTTAGAAATGAGTCTTTGGAACTTAGGTCTGCATATGATAGGGGTATTTTCTACTGTTTACTGGATAGAGCAGTCACTTTCTAGTAGTGGGAGTTAGGTTCCCGAAAAGCTGTGTGGTCTGACAATTCATGTTTGAGGAACTCGAAACTCAAGAGAATACATAAATAGTTGATAGACTTGAAGGTCATACAAACCTGTGCAAGTCATTGTAAATGTTTTCACGTTGTGAAGGTAGACAAAGGACAGCAAGCACAATAGAATATCAGTGGTAGTTTACATATTTTGAATTAGTGACAGGGTACCTGTACTATTACTTTACACTTACTGATGATAGCTTACTTCCATAAACTTCTGTTTCTACCCTTCAGTTTTAAAAATGATTTGTTAGTGTTATATGTATTGTTTCAGGTAATGTGCATATGAGGCATTTTTCTCCCGTTTTCCTCTATTTGTTGGTGTGTCCAAATACTTGGTGCCTAATTTTGTCTATTAAGCCCCGATGTGGTCCGAGAGATACTGAGTTGGTTGTTTGAGATAGCAAAAATTTGGGGCCAGACTTATTTAATCTGCTCAGCTTTTAGTTCTTAAACCTTCTTCCTAGTTCTTTTCACATAATTGCCTGAGAAATCACGTTTCTAGCCTCTTTAACACATATTTCAGTTATTTCACTTCTAAAATGCCACAGGAGTAGTAAAATCCAAGACCCATGTTTATATTCCCAAATGTTCTTTTACCTTGACCAAGGTTTTAATGCAAAATTGACTCATCTGCTATTGGTTTTTGCCTTCTTTTCAGTCTGTCTCCTTAAATATATATATATATATATATATTTTCTTTTTGTTTTTCAGACAGGGTCTCACTCTGTTGCCCAGGCTGGAACGCAGTGGCATGATCAGGGCTCACTGCAGCCTTGACTTCCCAGAATCAGGTGATCCTCCCACCTTAGCCTCCCTAGTAGCTGGGACTACAGGCTGCACCACCACACCCAGCCAAGTTTTTTGTTTTTTTGGGTTTGAGATGGGGTTTTGCCTGTTGCCTAGGCTGGTCTCTAACTCCAGGGCTCAAGCAACCCACCTGCCTCTGCCTCCCAAAGTTCTGGGATTACAGGCATGAGCTGCTGTGCCCAGTCTAAAATTTTTTTGGTAAAGGGAAAATACAGCAACCTGTTATAATATTCCGGAATCAAAAATTTTCTGCTAGATGAGTATTTGGGAAAATGAGTATTCTGTTCTAAATTACAATGCTTTTTCCAAAGTAATTACTGCTAATGAGCTCTTGTTTTTTCATCTTTAGGATGGTTGATGCAGAGTAGTACGTATAGGGGCTGAAATCAGACTTAGACGCATGTGAGTTCTTGCATCTCTGTAATTTTCTCATAACTATTTCAGTGATCCTTAATGAGTGGCATCTTGCCATGGTGAACTTTAATGTGAGACCACAGTTCACAGACTGTGACCTTAGGCCAGTTAATCTTTCTGACCCTCGCTTTCCCTGTTGATGAAGTGGAAGTAACACTACCTACTTGTAGGGCTGTTAGGAAGTCAGATGTGTCAACATCTATAAAGTGTCTTAGCCGAGTGGTTGGTGCACACATAGTAAGTGTTCCACAAATGTTCATTTCCCTGTAATTTTGCTAATCATTTTGGTGCAATATTATAAAGTCTTGTGTTTTTTGCACCCTCCCCCCCCCTTTAAACTGTTACTGTTTTCTAGGGTTTTTGAGGGGAGCGATAAATATTCTGGGTTTTTAGGATTTCAAGTGAAATCAGTTAGCATACAATTGCTTTTTCTCTGTAATGCTGGTTAATCATCTTATTGGAAATAAAAGAGAGTTTTTTCTTGTGTGTTAGGCATCAAGCCCATGATACTTCTATTTTCCTTTTGTTTGACTCCTTTGGGTATTATAATTCTAGAAAGTCTATTTCTAAAATTACTATGTGGAAAAAGAAGACTTGCTTTCTTCTGTCACTTTAATTTGTTAGTGTAAATGAGCAAAAGTTTATAAGGGAGTGTTAGTTAACAGTGTATAAATTTTAGATAATGATGTAAGTTTAATTTATGGAACCTAATTTTAGATCTAGTTTTTCTTGATTTCTATTTTGTAGCTTTTTGTGGTTGCTTAATTTTAATGGACATCGTCTGAACTATCTGCCTTTTTAGTTTCCAGTGTGCACATATTTTATGTTTTCATATGGGTTAAATTTTTTAAATTGTGAAATATGTGAGAATTTATATAACATATAAAATGAAGTAATAAAAAACAACTTAGTATTTTCTCCCAGCCTAAGAAGTGAGACAGTGCTTAACTAGTACTTTCAATGCTCGTTGTATCATACTGATTTTTAAAAAATCTGCTACTTGTAATACTTACCTACTACTTATTTTGAAATTAGATACAATTTTTAGTTTAGTGTCATTATAAAACATTGTCACATTAGAGAACATATTGCATCTGCCATTTAGTTTATTAGTTCCTAAATTAATCTGAACTTGCCTATCATGCTAATGCATTCATTTCAGTCACCGTATTAACATTTTGGATCTCTGTTGATTAGTTTTTTAAATTTTTTAAATTATTTTTTTACAAATCGTAGTATATCAGTGCTTTAAATAGGTGACTTCATTCCTCCCCGCACCCCTGCCTATGCCCCACCCCTGCCTGTGGGATACAGACACCAAAAGACTAAGCCTAGTACCTACCTGTAGAAATTGTCTTGTCCCTGAAGATATGCTGTAGATTAATTTTGTGCAGTGATTTTAAAACAATTGCTTTGTAAGTTTAACTTCAAAAAACCATGTAAGCTCAATTCCTGATTGTTGGTAGACCATCACATTGCCTTTGGCAAACTGAGCTGAAATGTACTGTAAAAGATTTTGAGGATTATGAGAGGTTCCTGTGGTAAAGATAGATGTTTGTCATTAGCATTTGATTGTTACTCTGTAGTTTGTGAATGACTTCATTTGTGGGAGAAATGATGCAAAATATACTCTATTTTCCTCAAAAAAAAAAAAAAATTGAAATATGTCTAGATGTTTAAACTTCTTTAGGAAGAAAATCATATCTGTAGCTTATCTGCAAGCACATTTGGTGTGTGGATTATCTGTTTATTGTTGTAAAAACTCTGACCTCATACAAACATTTTTGTTTTTGAAAAGTGACCAGCCTGAAGGAAGGATATATGAAATAATCACTAGAGTCTTTATTTAAAATAATCTAAGGTCAAGATTTCTGGAGTTTATTGTTACTTAGCATATGATGGTTTGGTTGCTCAATTTTGTAACTCATAAGAGATCTTTTAGGTGGCCTTTCAAATAAATAATGGTTAATGGATAATGTCTCAAAAAGTGTCAGAAATTTTCATTCATATTTCTTACCTTTAGATGTTTAAAATAGTAATAAAATAATCTGCTAATTGCTAACCATTTTAAATAAAGAATACTGATAACCTTAATTGATTCTGCTTCTTAAAAAGAACTTTTGTGTCAGTAATATCTACTTCTATCAAAATTGGTGAGGTGTAAGTAGCATTGTAACATTTTCTAGGTGAAGAATATGATGTTGGGAGCCTAAAGGATTTGATTATATATATAGTTCATAACTGGAGATTGAATTTATATTTCTTTTCCTATACTTCATGTCAGAATTTTAAAGACTGCCCATTTTAGGGGAAAGATTATTAGAAAATGATGTCCTTTGAGTAAAGATACTATTGATTCAATTATTATTTTTACAGAGTGAACTATTCTGATGCAGTACTCTAGTGTTCCTTCATCCATCTATGCATATACCCCCCACAATTGGATATCAGCTGGTGGTAGGACTAGTGTTTAATGTAGTACCATAACAGGCATTTGAATTGGAATGGGAGTTCTTCAGGAATAGAATCTGGAATATAGGTAGTGATTTCAGACACAGGCAATTCCTGATTTAAAAATAACTCACATAAACCCCTGTTTCTGAGGTTCTTTTTCAGTGAAGTGTCTACTATTGCTGCTATTTGGAGTACAAAGTTGGAGCTTTTAAAGAACCCGGGAGTTCAAAAGTATAAGGAGAAATAAATGAAAAACAGAAATCTTTTGAGGCTGTAAATATAGATTCAAATCTATATTATTATAACACCACTTGGAATTCTACCAATAAGAGATTTATTTGGGCAAACTAGAATGGTTGTTGGAAATTGCAAATCTTAGTGTTATTTCAGTCCAGTTGGTTTCTTTCTTTTGCTTACCTGAAATGAACTATACTGAGGCAATAGGAGCTTTGTATAGTAATTTAGGAGTGTAAAATAACTTGTGGAAAAGGATTATTAAGCGTTATGATTGGGATGACATCATGTGAAGTTTAGGAATTGGAGGCATTGGGAATCGAGAGGGTGCTAACAAAGGAAAACAGCTTATATTAGAATTTGTCTAGAGAATTGGAGACATTTTGGTATCTCTTCTGGAGCAGCCCTGGTGCCCTTGACCAGGAACATATCTTGGAGTCAGTAGTTTTCATGAGACTGGCATAGGAACATGGCCACCATATGCAACATTGTTCTATTTAGAATATTCCTTGAATTAATTCCACAGTATCAATTTAAAAGATAAATTTTTGACTTAACTCCTTTATGGTTAGGTTTTAACCTTTACGTGTCTTTACCTCGTCTGTTGTTAGCAGTTGGTAACCTCATTACTTTCATTTTCCTGTAAGTTGTTATGAATTTTTCAGGTCATCCATGAATTATCAGTGTAAGCAATAAGTAGGAAGTCTTTTAAAACAATTGCAGTAAAATAAGAGAAACCACTTGGAGAGCAAGAAGGCTTGTGGACTTAGGGGAGCAGTTGTGAGAAGTGTCTCAGAACTTAATTTATAAATCACATTGGTAGACTGACATGTTGCCTTTCCCTGAAAGTAACTTTGATTACCTCTGCCTTAATAGTAAACTACCATAAAAGTGCATTTGCATTCATCTTGATTTGTGAACTGATGAAAATTACAAACTGTAGGGTTTTTTTTCCCCAGATAAGTTAAATAGTGGAATATTCAGGTTTATTTGATACCTAGAAAAAGGCCTGAAATTTTTGATAGTAGTAGGCACATTTTGAAACTGTTTTTATTTTCTCTGACAATTGAATACATTTTATGTATAATTGATTTTGATTATTGAAGACTAAGGAAAATTGTTTTTAAGTAAGTTTAAATGTTAGAAAACGAATTTTGCACATTTGAAGTCATTTTATCTGTATGTTTTGGGATTGTCGTTATGTTAGATATTCCTCAATTAGGGGTAATTGTCTTACATCATTATCTCTTATCATAATCTGTTTTTCTTCACACAGTGTTATAGTTTTGCCGCTGGACTCTTCCCTCCCTTCCCCCACCCCATCAGGATGATATGAGACTTGAAAGAAGACGATGCATACAGGTGACTCAAGTTTTGAAATACAGTAAACTATGGCTGTGAGAATGTGGGAATCAATGGTATATTTTGAATGGGGGAACTTTCTGATAAATAGCAGTTAGTGGGGGGAATTGTAGATCAGTAAATGCAAAGGTAGCTGGGCTATCTGTTAAACTTACTTTTGAACTCAGATTGATAATCAGTGATTTATAGTGGTGTTAAGACAAATACAGCATAGTAATTGCTAGTACTTAGGCTTTTCAAGAGCTGGCTAATATTTTGGTGGGAATTAGAATCTTTCTGTTAATAATGTAAATAACACAGTCACCTTTATGGTTGAATGCATGTTTCCCCCAGATCCCTATTAGAGTATGGCAGATCTTTTATGGGAGTAGATGTTAGTAGGATATCGTTAAAAAGACTGACAATTAAAGTAAGGATATTATCCCCATAAGTATGGTTTCTTAAAAAGATATGCTCTGGGATTTTGTTTATTCTTTCCTAGTTCCTGATATCCCTGCCTTCCATTTCCCTTCCTCCTATCTTCCCTGCTCCCCTCCATCCCCTGCTTATTCTTTTGTCATTTGTATTTTTATATAGAAGCAGCACTTTGAAGCCATTTTTGAAATAATATTTTTTGATTGCTTTATAATTAATTGAGGTGATCTTATACTTGGGAAACTGGAGGCTGTTCCGTATGTGGCTATGTTCAAATTCCTGAAAATGTAGTGCAGCTAATGTATAAAGTGTTAATAACTTTTGAACTTATATGTTCTTAAATCAGGCATATTGTAAGGCATTTTGTTGAACTAAGTGACTTACATTTGAAACTCTGTCAGATAGTTTTATTTGATTATATACTAATGTTTTAAAATGTGATTGCTAACTGGAAAAGAAGTAATTATATAAATCTTTAATTGATATCTAATAGCTAATTATATCATTTGTGTAGTTTTTGTGATTGGTTTTTATTTTTGGTGATCTGGGTTTTGCCTAGGGGAAAAATAATAATTTTATGATTTTAAGATTTTAAAAAAATGTTTCAGGTGTACCATTTTGTATGAAGAAATGTGCTTGAATATATTTGTAAATTAAATTGGAGATCATATAATACTTTAGATTCATGTGGAAGTCACCATTTTAAGACCGATGGTAATTGTTGTTTATGTCAAAGGTGATTGAGCAATCATCTTGTTACTCATTTGTCATGCATGCACACAGGCTTGCCACATGTATGTTTGCCTGTACATATTAGAGGTATGCCAGTACACATTCTGGCTGAGTTGCTCACCGATTGTTAAAAGCAATATGATGCTGAAGCTGAATATCACCATCATAGAAAAACAAATAGGCATATTTACAGAAACATTTTTAGAATTTTATGCACATTTTTTTGTTGTCAGATTTTATAAGTTTGACCTTTTGGTGCAGGAACTATTTCTCAGCATTGTCAGCTCCTGGATTGCTCCTTGGGCGCTATACTGCACATTGGCTATACCAAGTAGATGCTCACTTTCGACTGAGGTCAGTAGAGGAACAAAGTATTTTTGGGGTATCTCATAGATTTATCTATGAATATTACTGATTTGGGAGATTTTTCTCTCATGAAATTTTGGAGTTGCAAAGTTGCTATTTATCCTCACAAGACGTGGAGGGTTTCCAAATAGCTCTTTTTCTCGAAAGGCTTATGGCCTCAAAGGAATGAAATAACTAATGAGTAAATACGTTTATAGTTATCTAGTTAATTGTATAAATGCAAGAACACCAGAAAATTCTACAGATTAGATTTACGATAAAATCCAATCTCTTATTCAGCCTCGTATTCTTTAAAAATTATCAGCATTTATAGGCTTACAAAGGAAAAAACCCAGGAAAGAAGATCTAGCTCTGTAATAAATGTATTAGCTGTTGGTGTATTCCCTTTCTAACAATTTGAAAGCTAATAATTGTTTTTGAACATAAAATTAACAGCTTTCAAAATCATCATTAATTAATGTAGCAGTTTGCTCTTGTATTACTATGCACACATTTATTCAACTGATAGAATTTCAACACATTAAAACTCATGAGTAGATGTTCACCCAATGTTATTTCTAGAGAGTGCCTGTGCACATTTGAAAGCAAGTGTTCTGTTTTCTCCAGACCTTGTTTTTACCCTCTGGCATGGTTCATGGTACTGGCTGTGTTTTGTTTGTTAGATGTGGTAACTTACTCACCTTTTCCTTGTTGAGGCACAGGTTCAGGGATGCTGGAAAGGACACTGAAGTATGCATTGGTTGATTGGCCTTTCAGAAGTGAAAGCTTAAAAGTAGGTTTTCAGGGTGACTCAGTGAGGTGATTAATATATTAATTAGCTTGATTGTGATGATCATTTCACTTTGTATATGTGTATCAAAACGTCATGTTGTACACCTTAAATATATACAATTTTTATTTTCCAGTTAAGCTGTGGTTGTGGGGGTGGTGGGGAGAGAAAAAGCTAGTTTTATTGAACACTAAGCCAAAGTCAGACTTTGTTGCGTTTAGTCCATGTGTCTATAGGTGTTTCTGTACTTATTTAATTTGAGGATCTTTTTTGTATGTTTTCAAATACAGTTAGAATATGAATGAGGTAAATTTGGGTTTTCTTTTGATTTTTGGAAGAACAAATAATTTGTTAACAAACATTTATTTGGTTGGCATTTGCTTTGTACCAGGTACTATTATAGGTGCTCTGCCTACAAGGATCCCCGAGCTTATGGATAACAAATAAATTGAGGCAGTCGAGGTTTTCGATAGAGTTTTAAGATTCATGTATTGAATTCAAGGCATGCAGAGAGAAAATAGAGAGTACTGTCTGGGTAATGACATTGACAGTAATGACTTCAGCTGACGCCTATATGCTGAGGTTATCAAAATCTCTGCATCCCATTCTTCTCTTCTGAGCTCCATACTCAAGTAACTGCTTCCTGGATGCCTCTCCCGGATATTCCCTCCTTCTCACCCATTCAGTCCTTTTACTGATGAGTGACACCATTCTACCCTAGCACACCATCATTTGGGGAACCTAGGAACCACTCTCTGCCCTTTTCAATCACAAGTAACCAAATTCAGTTTATTTAAGGTGTAGAGTCACTTCTGAGATTAGACTTGGGAAAAGCACTGCCTTGGAGATTACCATGTATATGAACATAAAGGCTTTTATATAAAGAAACCTGTGTAAACCAGCATTTCTTCAGTTTATTTGATTAAGAGACCTCCCTCCCTTTTATTTTTATTTATACCCATTAATATCCTGTGGAACGTGATTTGGAAAAATGTGTTGGAAATAGAAGTTGCTACCATTCTTTGTTTTGTCAGAAATAGCTTCTTTAACAACTAAAAAATGTTTAAACAATAGTGATATACTAGCCACTTTAAAATGTGGAATAGTTCCAAAGCATACAGAACTATCACTTTTTGAGGATGAATAAACATGGAAATTTATTTTTAAATGTGCTGATTTGTTCATATTGTCTTTGTCATAATTCTTATGCATTCACTACACACACACACACACACACACACACACACACACACGTATGTGAATCTAAGTACTTAAAACCATTTGTGGCAGAGTTTTAATTTTAGATTCTCTTAACTCATTTTAAAATGTGAATTTTGTAGGACAAAATTTTCATATTTCCAGTGATCACAGAAATGTGGTATAGTCATTATAGAACAGTTAAATTTCAGCAGTCACAGAAATGGGGTGTATTCATTACAGAAGTGTTAGAAATCAGATCTGTAAACTACAAAAAACTCAACTTTTATTTTATTTTATTTTTTTGAGATGGAGTTTCACCATGTTGGCCAGGCTGATCTTGAACTCCTGACCTCAGGTGATCCGTCCACCTCAGCCTCCCAAGGTGCTGGGATTACAGGCGTCAGCCACCGCACCCAGCCAAAAGACCCAACTTTTAAAATCCCATTATGTGCTGGGTACACTGGGAGCATAAAAGGGCATGCACACTGTAGTATTTAGGTAACTGTTGCCAGTTTGCCTCCACTTGGAATTGTTGTTCTTGTTTGTCTGATCTTTTCCTTTGTGTGTTCATGTCTCAACCTGAGCTGTTTGATTTTTTTCTCATTGATTCAATGAAATTATTTTTCTAGTAAGTTATAAAGATAGTGGATTTGCTTTTGCTTCCATGTTTTTACTTCTCCTTATTAGGTAATACAAAATCACTGAAAAAATTCAGAAATTTATAAATATATATACATAAGGCTAAGAAAACATACCAATTTTATTGTCCTCTGCAGTGTGGCACATTCTCTTCTGGGTTTTTTTTTTCCATGCCATTTTTTAATTAATTGAGATTATTTTGAATATTCAGGATGATGTGGTCGTTTAAGATTCATTTTATACTCATATTGACTAGCAGATCATAAGTGTTTTCCTACATTGTCAAAAGCTTAACAGTGGTGATCTGCTGTTACTTTGCACTTGAAACAAATCCAGGTTACTCAGAATTAGAATTGAAGATCAATTACTTTTTAGATATTTATTTTAAAGCATACTTATTTTCTAGTTAAGTATCTCTTATTTTTAGGCATTAAATTGTTGGTTTTTTTGTTTTTTGTTTTTTGAGATGGAGTTTCGCCCTGTTACCCAGGCTGGAGTGCAATGGCGCAATCTCGGCTCACTGCAACCTCCGCCTGCCGGGTTCAATTGATTCTCCTGTCTCAGCCTCCCGAGGATCTGGGATTATAGGCGTCCACCACCATGCCCGGATAATTTTTTGTATCTTTCTTAGACATGGGTTTTCATCACGTTTGCCAGGCTGGTCTCGAACTCCTGACCTCGTGATGTGCCCGCCTCAAGTACTAATATCTGTGCATAATATTTGGCTGTAAAATTATTTTCTTATAATGGATTCCTGGAAGTCATAATGTTTGAAAAATTTTCAGACCCTTGATAAAACTTTTCAGAAAGCTGTTTGGTAATATGTACCACTCTGTATGTTATAAGAATGTCTCTTAATTTATTTTTCTCAGCATTAGGTATGATAGTTAGAAATGAATCTTAATTCAGCAGGTGAAAAGAAGAATCTTTTATTTTGGAAAAATAAAGTAGTAGTATATCTTTGGTGGAGGAGATATAAGTGCCTTAGAAATGCATAAAGTAAAAAGACAGCTACTCCTCTTTTTCTAATAGTTCAGATTATTTCTTTCTAGCAAGTGGTTTTTGTTTTAATTCTTTTATGGCATTTACACATGTTTATTGGTTTTATGTCCAGCTAGTCTTATAGTTCCAAAAGGTTAGGGGTTATGGCTTAGGCTCTTTGTGTGCCTACTGTCTGGCAGGATTTCTGGGACACAGGAAGTGCTCAGCAAATACAGAAAGAATAAAATTTGCCATCCTAATGGCATTTTAAATGCCTACAAGTAAGTATATTAATGCTTGCTTTAATAAATTCAAGTGGTTTTAAGAGTTTCTCATTTTCCATTTTTTTGTTTCATAGTTTTATTATTTGTTTCTAAGTTGAAGCAATTAATAATGATTCCATTATGTGTGTGTCATATGAAAGAACATTTGGTATTTATAGAAAAGATGATAGGAAACCTGAGGTGTTGTAAGCCACATTGTAAAATTGAATTTCTTACCTTAGTGTCTTTATTTAAGACCCAGGTAAAAACAAATACATTTATAGTCATGATTTTGGATTTCAGGTATACTTATTAAGTATACCTTGAAAGAATGTCTGATTTCTAGGAAGATGACAATAGAACATAGTTTTAAAATTTTCTCATTTTCCCCTAGATAGAGACAGAGTAACTAGGTCATCAAAACCAAAATGTCACATTCAGCATCTGCAAGACTAGGTGAACAGTATCCCCAGTGACTCACATACAAGTAAGTAGGTGAGAGTAAATGCCTGCTAACAAGACCTATGTGGTATCAGCATTTGTGCAGAAGGAGACATGAGGGTTTCTGATGGACCTGAGAATATGAGAACCCAAGATAACCTGCAGAGACTCACTGTAGTGAGAGACTTGTGACAAGTATGTTTGAGAACAGCAGCTGGAACTGGAGATAGTTTTGAGTTCCCTGGAGGACACAGTAAATTCTGAAGAGAGGTTAGAGTCATCTGATCTAGATGAACTCTCAAAACTAACCAGCTTAAGCTCCCTTCCCAGGCAAAGCCCTACACCAAGGAGACATGGCTGGGAATAGAATCCACATTAAGCAAGATGGAGACAATGAGTGCAAAGGAAAAAATGTCACATGAAAGTGGGAGAAGATAAAAGCACAGGAGATCTTATTCATGAGTCTGTTTTTTGGTATCCTTCATGAAAACAGAAAAGAACTCTTACTGAAGTCAGAAAAGCTACTCCAGTTTCCCCAAAGTTTTTTTTTAACTCATTTAAAAAAAATAAAATTAAAACTTTATTTAAAAAATGAGCAATAGACAAGGATCATAGTCAAATTCCCCACAGAGTTTTTATAAGAGAAAAGAATAAGGAGCAGAGTATTATTACTGCAGACATTGAAAGCATGTCAGAAAGAAATGTCCACAAAATCAATGAAACTATAACCTGTTTCAAAATAAACCCAGAGAAATTTAGAAAGTGATATAAATATTAAAGCACAATGTAAATCTGAATTAGGAAAAATTAGAAAAGTGGTTGATAACTGAGGAAAGGGAAGTAAAAGATCATTTGAAAAAATGAAGCCTAAACATTAGAATGAAAAACACAATATAAAATTTCTCAGAAAACTGTTTAAGATGAATAAACAAGGAGAAACGAAGAAAAACGAAGCATTCCAGAGAGAGTGACAGTTACAGACAGGCAAAGAAGTTTCAACATTCAAATAATCGGAGGCTCTGAAGAAGAACTAAAGCAATGAAACTTAAAATATAACTCATGAAATTTTGTTGAAATTTGCTTTACAAACTTTTTTTAACAGATGGGGTCTTGCTTTTTTGCCTAGGCTGGAGTGCAGTTGGCATGAGCGTGGCTCACTGCAGCCTCCTGGGCTAAAGCTATCCTCTATGTCAGCCTCCCAAGTGGCTGGGACTACAGGCATGTGCCACTATACCTGGCTAACTTCGTTATTTTTATTTTTGTAGAGATGTGGTCTTGCTACGTTGCCTAGGCTGATCTTGAACTGCTCAAGAACAGCAAAATATACTGCATGGAATCAAGTACTCAAAAAGACACTCAAGATGTAAATATTTGTCTTGTTAACACAAATCCAGATCTGCTTTGTATAAAGTTAAGAAAGCTTAAAAAACATTGTTCAGTGCTTGCTGTTTTTGTAACCTACTGGTTACAGCCAGCTCTTTCCTCTCCTACTGATGGTAATAGTATTCTCAGGCCGTTTATATTTGTCCATTCTTGCACTATTATAAAGGAATACCTAAGACTGGGTAATTTATGAAGAAAAGAGGTTTAATTGGTGCGTGGTTCCATAGGCATTAAGCATGGCTAGGGAGTCCTCAGGAAACTTACAGTCATGGTAGAGGATGAAGGGGAAGCAAGCCTGTCTTTTGTGGCCCCAGCAGGAGGAAAAGAGAAAGGGGAAGGTGCTACACACTTTTAAACAACCAGATCTCATGAGAATGAACTCAACATCGTGAGAACAGCAAGGGGAAAGTCTGCTCCCATGATCCAGTCACCTCTCAAGAGGCCTGTCCTCCAACATTGAGGATTCCAGTTTGACATGAGATTTGTGTGGGGACACAAATCCAAAACATAGTCACCATGCTTAGCTGATATGTTAAATTCAGTCTTGTTCTTTTATTAAGCATTAGTCAGGCAATTTACATGCATATGTTAATAAAATTTAAGCCATTCTGGAAGTAAAAGAATGAAATACCAGCTTTCCTTTTCCTCATTCCCACCTATCGGGGTAACCCCTTTTAATCTTTTCCATTTTAAAATTCTTCTCTTGGTTGCCTCCATCACTTCTAATACATTAGTATGTTTGTAGCTGTGTTTTGCTATTATGAAAAATCTATTGAAAAATGAAACCAGATAGCTTGCAGTGCTACCTATCTCTTTTCCAGCTGGTTTCTCCTGATCCTCTTTTAAAGTTTTTCTGTGGATTATTATTAAAATTTTATAAAACGAATTTAATCTTGGCCATCAGTTTTGAATAGTCTTGATTTTTCAAGATTTGAAATGAGAGCTTTAGAGCCCTTTATATTTCTTTTACCTCACAGCTATTACCAGCTTGTATAGAGGTGTATTCACTTACACATCTTTCTTTCACTTAATTGAATTCTGTATTTTTGTCTTAGACTATTCTGAATATTGAAAACAAAATATGCTGGAAGAACATAGTGTAATAAGACTCATGGAGAGGGAGATGTTATACTATGTCACTAAGTTTGTTCCAGTCTTAGGAGAAATGTTACCACTGGATTGAGGTCTGGTACATTTTAAAAGATGATTTAATTCTATGATATGTGTTCAGATTGCACTAGGAAAGTTTTTACTTTCATCTTTGTTCCATGCATAGCACAAATAGCTGTGAACCCTTATTGCCCAACTCAAGAGCCAGAGTCTTCTGTCATCATCTTGCTTCTCTCCCAAGTGAAAGGACTGAGGGCAGATTTGGTGTTTGTGGGTGAGGCATGTGGACTGACAGGCTTCAGTTTAGCGAGTGTGAGCCCTGGCAGGAAGATTCTCTTTCTCGTGTGTGATCCCTGGCAGGAAGATTGTCTTCCTTTCCTTGCCAGTTGAGGAGGCCTCATTGAGCAGTGTGAACTTGTGGTTTTGGCATGTCTAGTCTTGACGCAGGTGGCTTGGAATCCTCACAGGCAATTCTTTGGCCTCACCCTGGGGGCGGCTGTTCATTTGTGTTTGAGTGGCTGGGACTCAGTAGGTTCACTGCAATAGGTATTTCTTTAGGGCCACTGGGGGAGGCTGATTATGCAGCATATAGTTGTCTAATAAATCAAGCCAATCTCTCCCCTTCCGTCTACTCCAGTTTTTCTTTACCACCCAGAATGGCATCTGCCACTTCTGCTCTGGTTCCTGGTCCCAGCTTTCAGCACTAGATCTTTTTGACATTCTTCAAATTATTGGTATGATTAATCCCAGTTACCTTTTTCTTGCAGAAAACTGACAAAATCTTTGGTTCACTGGTATGTCTCCATCCCATGCTTTATTTTATTATCCTTTGCTGCTTGTTTTGTGGATGATATGGAGGATAAGAACAATATATTTACTCTATCCAGTGCTCTAGATTTTCTTGTTAGAAGCACCCTTCTTCCTAGCCTGGGAAAACTGAGCTGCTGCAGTTGCTGTTAGCTTCTTCTCTTGCTGTTAGTTTTAAAGCACTGTTTTCAGTTACACTTCAATTGTAGCTATCCTTAGTTCTCTTTTTATCATTGAATTCTGGTAGTATGTATGAAGAACTGGATGGCCTTCCTGGCCTTTGTAAATATTTCCTGCAAATGCCTAGCTTTAGTGAGCTACAAAGTTGCCAGTTTGGAGGTGAGGCTGTATTGAAAGTCCTCATCTGTACTTTACTGTCTGCTTTTGTGACTTTGGGTTTGGGTTGGGTGTTTGGAAGCACTGTTTCTTCTGTCCTTGACCTTGTTCCACATGTTTTACCCATAACCTCTTGTGAGCAGGGCACAGGACCTTTCCTTGTCACCTGGGCTTCAGCTGTTTTGAGGATGACTGCTTATCCCTTGCAGGTGTTTCCCACCAAGGCTGTTGAAAGGGAAGTTATCATAGTGTTCATTTTTTTTAAAAGTTAGACCAGATATACCCCCTAAACTTGTTAAGCCTGTCTGCTTCTTTTCATATGACATAGAAATTGATACAAAAATGCTTAATGTAGTTTGTATAGATGAAGTTGCTTAAGAAAGATGACACTGTACTATTTTGTTGTCTTGATAAGTACAGTACAAAAAATTTTTAAACTCTAAAGTTAATTTGCAAGAATCTTTTTGTTTTGACAACATACTATCTATTATAACTTTTAGCTGAATAAAATCTTAGCAAGTCAGCCTTTATATTTTCATGATACCTAGATGAAGGAACAAAAGTTATACTGTCATATACTGAATTTTTATGATGTTCTAGGAGCCTTTTTTGTTTTGGGAAGGGAGGGAGGAAGAGGATGACATTATTCCCTAGATATGAGTTAGTTGATTCAGAAGAATAAAGAATAGTCCAATATTTAAAAATTTATAATCCAGATTTAAATAATAGTTTACCTTCTAGCTTTATAAACAGTCTTAATGAGAAGTAGAGGAGAAAAAAGAAGCAGAGTTGCTCTTAGGTTAGAGAATAGAAATACCAACTTGGCTTAACGTTTTTATAAAAGATGTTCAGTAAAACTATGGTGACAGCCTCACTTTAGGGAATGAGGTATTAAAAACTTGACCAAGGTAGTCATGCCAGACTTTGGAATATTTTTCCAAATTTGATGGCTTCAAATTAAAAAAAAATATTTTTATCCACTTGCTGTTTTTCAAAACTATAAAGCTGCATTCTATTTCTGCTTAAAAATACAAAATTGTTAGTATGATCTGATTTGTCATTTGAGATAATCTTGGATAATACATTACTGGGCATAATAATGGCTATTATACATAGAGAGGTTAGAGGCTGTTTCTGTGTCTCAAGCATCATTAACTGCAGATAAAAAGTTACCAGTTATTTTAAATATATTTCTTACAGGGGAGAAAATGTAATCAGCATATAGTGTTTTTAAAAAGTTAATGATTAATTGTATACTTAGAAAACTTACCTTCTTTACTTAAATATGTATATTTATGTAATGAAGATTCTAGTTTAGTAAGTTAACTATTTTTTTTTAACATGTTTAATGCTTAATTTCTGATTCTAAAAGTAGTACTTTTTGATACTTTCCTAAACTCCATAATTTAAGTAACTTTAGAAAGAATTGATACTAAGCTAAACATTTAAATTGAGGATTATCCCAGAGCATCTGTCACTAGGCATATGATGTTTCCTTGTGTCTCTTGTCCCCAAAGGAAAGTAGGAGTGCTGAGTTTTTAATATTTGTCCCCTTCAAGAAGGGGAAAGTTTTGTGATACGAAGAATGCTTAAGAGGTAGACCAGGAAACAGTCTCTCTTGACATGGAAAATGCCATTTATTGCTGTAGAGTGCAAGACAGGCTGGGTTAGGATTGCTTTATCAATGTGGAGGGAATAAGAATCTGGAAGAACAAACTGAAATATTAAAGATTCATGGATAAGAGTATGAATGAAATTGGTTTTAAAATCTCCCATTTATTTCTCTCTTGCCTTTGTCCTTCAGAATTAAAGGAGGCTAATGCAGGTTCCAGCTAGTTCAAAAACGTACCAAAAGTTCTCAGAAGTTTAAAGGGCTTAGATTGAGTCTTTCGGGGAATGGATTAAATACTTCTGAGTTAGAGAGTGATTTTCAAACCTGTCTTAAGCCTTGGCTTGTAACATGTAGATGATAGTATGGGGAATGATTCTGAGCTAATCTCAGGAAAGCTTACATTTAAATAAATTTTCATATGGACAAGAAACCAGGAGACGATGTGTGACTAATATATTGATTATTCATGGATACTGTGAGAACTTTGCTTTTTATCTGTGGGATCTTTATCTTATGCATTATGTTTCTAAAACTGTAGTTTCTTTGTTTATAGAATGGGGGAGGGTTCACGTTAGATGATCTCTAAGTTTCCTCCTGGCTTTTGAATTACTGATCTTTTTCCTGACTTTCAGAAGCTGACTTTTCCAGTCTTGGTTTCATTGGACTTTAATGGGTTTTCATCCAGAATTCCTGTGTAGAGAGAACATGGGAAGAAATTAAGGGACAGGTGTGGGTGATGGGTGCCTAGAGATGGTGGAAAAGTGGTTTCAGGAGAAGAGAAATTGTAGTGTTAGCAATAGGACCAACATGCTCTTCTTTTGGAATCTGATGCTTGAAAATCTACTCTGTCTTAATGAAATATAGTTTACAAATGCTAGAAGTCTTTCTGGAGACGTTTATAGACAGTCTATGGAAAAATATTTAAAAATCACAAACTTTTTCATGGTGTAGAATGAATCTATACTCTATTTGGAAGGAGATAATTGCTAGGCTGGGTGGGACAAGTTGATCTATTTTAAAATAAAATTGTATCTTTTATAAGGCACAAATGGGAACTGTGTCTCCTTGACATGTTTCAAAGCATTTCTCTGAATATGTGAGATTAAAGAAACCCTTAACCACTCAGAATTGTCAGAACACTGATGTTCTTTAAAACTATCTTTGTAGCTGTTAGTATGTACTGACAGAGTTGAAGTTTTTAATGTTGTATTCATTATTAGACATTTTGCATATGAATATAATGTGTTTTATTTATGGTTACATCTTAATTCAACTTGGTTCCCAGATATGAGTATTATTTAGTTGGTCTTCATACTTTAAGCTCTTATAGGTTAATACTTAATTGGGGTTTTATTTTAAAGTTATTTTTGAAGCTATATGTTAAGCGTGTGATAATAAAAAGTTAGTTTTCCTCATGCTTTCTGTTATGCCCACCTCTTTAATCTTTCTGTTATATAATAAAAATGCTTTGTGGGACTTCTCTAAAATGTAATGTTTGAGAATCTATTTTAATGTATAGAAAGACATTTACATAATGCTTTTGAGTAGGTGGGGGAAAAAGTTGAAATGTTGATGGCAGCATCTGTTAGAAAAAATCTCATATGTCTATATAGTAAAAAGTTAAAACTACAACAAATGCACTACTTTAACGGTGTTCTGCATGTTATTCCAGGGGATCGCCTTTGGAGTAAAAAGTAGAATATGTTTCTAGTCCTTTATAGTTGCTGTTAATTTTGTTCTAAACCTGAAAGTGTTAACAGCGAGTTGAAAATGTGACAAAGCTCAATTTCATTTCTTGTTTATTGCTTGTTTTCCTATTGGACAATTGGAAGTAGCTCTGCCCTGGCAACTAAAATAGGCTATTTGCATAACCTAGTTTGATTGGCTAGCATGCTGACTAACAGTTCCAATCATATGGTGTCGGTTTAGTGGTAGGCTATGCTAATTAGCCGCTGTTGCTGGGGTTCAGGGATGGTTTCTGTGTGCTGTTCTGCTGCATTGTGTTGCCTGGTGAGAGACATTGATAAATGAGCGTTTAATGATCTGCAGCAGTTCCCACTCACTGCGGGCAGGCGGATTTTAGAACAGAAGTGAAAATAAGGATTTAATTGCTCTGTTAAATACCTGTAACCAAAATATGTGTATTACATTTGATAAATTAAGTTGTATGAAATCTTTTATCTAATTAAATACCTTATGACACAAAAGAAAAATACGTTAGCTTTGTCTCTTAAAATATAACTCAGGTAGCAGCACTATGCACAGGTTTCCTAAAACTGTAAAATTGATCTTTTTCAGATCAGAAATAGTACCATTGCAGTAAGTAGCATGCTTGATTTTTTCTTATGACTTTGACCTTTCATAAAGATACATGTTTGTGTTTACTAATATGGTGCAAGCTTTTGGGCAGAATTTATCTTGTATTGCCTGTGTAGTCTAGCAAGTAAGAGCATAAACTTGAATCCCCTGTTCTTGTTCTTCTGTTCAATTTGAAGATCGGATTGTTATTCGTTACCTCCTGCTAGTATTACTTTTCTAATTGAAGTCAGGTGTTTTAACTGTTGCTTGTACCATTATCATTGGTTTACATGAAGTCTTAATTGGTACTGTCAGGTGGTAGGTTCTGTAGGAAAAACACCCTCAGTTCTTTGTTCAAGGAATGAGGTGAAGAATAAAACACATGTGATCTTAGGTAAAAATGCAGGATGACCAAATGGAAAAGTTCTGTAGGGATTTATCTGAAAAGATATAGGGGAAAAAAAATCTCTTGGCCTTTTTATGATAGGGACATGGGAAATGGATTGAGAATCTGGGAAAGGGTTAAAGAGGAAGCCCATAGAATTTGTGTTAAGATTTTAAATATCATTTAGGGTTCAAATAGCTGGAGAGTAATAAGGAAGAAAGAGCATTTTAGGGTGAGGAATAGATGAGCAAAAGTAATGTTTCAGGTAGTCAGTTGTCAAAAGTGGTCACGGTAATCAAGGATTCTGGGGCTTTAGGTGTGTCAGTGCCGCAGCTTTCAGGCAGTCTTGTGTTATTCCCTTGAAATAAGACCTGGTATCTTACTGTTCGAGCTAGCATCATCATTGGCTTTTTCTTACTTGGCTTTGTTGGAGGCAGGGCTCTCCACTTATTGTGTCCGGTGGTTAAAGCATAGGACTCTTTTGCCTTCTTTTAGCCCTCTCATTGGCCATATAAGGGTGGATAATACAGATTTTGACGGTTTTCTTGTAAAAAGTGGGAGATTTTTGAATTATTTACCGCAGTGGTTCACAATGTATTTTTTAAAACACATGCCCTCCATGAATGTTTGCAAATTTCAAAATAGACATTTCTTTGATTTTTAAAATATGAAAATGTGGTATTGAGTAATTCCAAGGGTTCGGTTTAAGCAACTGGAAGGTTTGAGTTGCCATCATCTGAAATGAGATATGTTGTAGGAGAAGCAGATTTTTTTGTGGGATGGAGGAAGGGGGATTGATTGTATCTGCAGTTGGGTTTTGAATGGATTAAAAGTTTTTAAAACAGCTTTATTGTATTATAATTGGCATAAAATAAACTCCACATAGGAGTATACAATTTGATGGATTTTGACAAGTATTCCTTTAGAAGCTTTTACCACAAGTAAGATAATGAACATAGCCACTCTCCCACAAGTTTCCTTGTCCATTTTTGTAACCCTGCCCCTCCCTCCCAGCATGCCCCCCAATCTTTAGGTAACTACTGATCTACCGTCTGTCAGGATTCATTACTTCACTTTTTCCAGAATTTTATGTAAACAGGATTATGTATGTTCTTTTCGCCTGGTTGTAGTTCTTGTGAGAGTCATCTGTGTTGTGGTATGTATCAATAGTTCACTCTTTTTATTACTGAGTAGTATTTCATTGTGTATATATACCTTGGTTTATCCATTTACCTGTTGAAGGTCGTTTGAATTGTTTCTAGTTTTTGTCTATTACAAGTAAAGATGCTATGAATATTATCGTACAGTTTTTTGTATGGACATATGGTGGGTATATGCTTAACTTATGAAGAAACTGCTAAATGGTTTTACAAGTTAGTTGTATGATTTTACATTCTTACCAGTAGTTTAGGAGAGTTTCACTTCCTTTACATTTTGCCATATTTGGTGGACAGCCTTTAATTTTAGCCATTCTGTTACTTGGGTAGTGATACCTCATTGTGTTTCCCTGTGATTAATGTTGTTGAGCATCTTTGTATGTACTTCTTTTTGCCCTCTGTATGTCATGTTTGGTGAAGTGTTTGTTCATATCTTTTGTCTTAACTATTTTTTCAGTTATTGAGCTTTTAAACTTTCTTGTATACTTTTGATACAAGTTCTTTATCAAACATATGATTTGCTAAGCTTTTCTCCTAGTCCATGGCTTGTCATTTTATTCTCTTAAAAGTGTCTCGAAGATCTGATGTTTTAAATTTTTATGAAGTCTAATTTATCCATTTGTTCTTTTATGAAAGCTGCTTTTGGAAAGTTTTTGCATAATGGTCCCATGATCAAAAACGTTTTTGCCTATGTTTTTTTTTCCCCTCACCAGATTTTATAGTTGTAGGTTTTATATTTAAGTCTGATCATTTGGAGTTTAGTATTTGTTGATAGTGTGCCGGAAAGCATAGATCAAAGATCACCTTTTTTTTGCAAATGGATATTCATTTATTGTAGAACCATTTATCAAAAGGACTGTCCTTTCTCCATGAATAGCCTTTGCATCTTTGTCAAAAATCAATATCCCACATATGTGTGAGTCTGTTTGTGGACACTTGGTTCTGTTCTATTAATCTGTCTGTCCTGATACCAGTACCATATTGTGTTGACCACTGTGGCCTTAATAATAAGTAATGTAATCAGGTAGTTTTAATTCTACAACTTTCTTCTTAATTCAGTTTTTATAACTCTCTATGTCTTACGCATTTTCATATGAATTTTCTCAGTTCGCTAATTTCTTTCAAAAAAGTCTGCTAGGATGTTGATTGGAATTATGTTGAATCTATAGATAATTTCAGAAGAATTGATATTTTAACAATATTGACTCTTTAGACCCATGCACATAACTCTCTATTTAACCCTTTCTCTGAATTTTCTAATTTTCAGTATGCAATTTTTTCACGTATTTTGTCAGGTTTATACCTAAGTACTTCATATTTTTGTCACTATTTTAAGTGGGTTTTAAATTCCAATTTAATTTGTAGTTACAGTACTAGCACATAGAAATACAATTGATTTAAATATATTATTATATTCTTCAACCTTGCTAAAAATCACTTATTAATGCTCAGTGATTAGCATTTTTGGTAGATTCCATCAATTTTCTACCTAGATAATCACATTGATTATGATGAGAGATAATTTTGCTGCTTTCCAATTTGGTTACCTTGTATGTATTTTTTTTTTCTTGGCATACTACATTGGTTCCAACCTCTGGAATATAGAATACATATGGAACATAGACTATGATGTTGAATATAAGTAGTGAAAGAGGACATTCTCTTTTGTTCTTTATTTTGGAGGAATGAACTGTATTTTTACATCACTTAGTATTATGTTAGCTGTCGAGTTTTTTTGTCAGTGTCCTTTATCACAGGGGTCCCCACTGGCTTCGGCCTGTTAGGAACCAGGCCGCACAGCAGGAGGTGTTGAGTGCTACCCCCTGAGATCCACCTCCTATCTGATCACCTGAGGCATTAGACTCACGTAGACGTCGAAACCCTGTTGTAAACTGCACATGCAAGGGATCCAGGTTGTGTGCTACTTAAGAGAAGCTAATGCCTAATGATCTGAGGTGGAACAGTTTTTCATTCTGAAACCATATCCTCCCCCCACCCCCGGCCACGCCCCTGGAAAAATTGTCTTCCATGAAACCAGTCCCAGATGCCAAAAAGTTTGGGGGACCACTGCTTTATCAGATTGAAAAAGATGCCTTCTGTTTCTAGTTTAATGAAAGTTTGTTTTAAGTCAAGTGTAGATGTTGGGTTTGTCAAATGTTTTTTTCTGCATCTCCTGAGATTACCACATGGTTTTTATTTTTTAGCTAATTTGATGAATTGTACTGATTGATTTCTTAATGTTAAACTGATAATAGCATTTGCTGAAATAAAGGCAACTTTGTTATGATATATTCTTTATTTTAGATTGTTTGATTCAAATACACTTTTGTTTAGAATTTTTACATCTTAATGTTCATGAAAGATACTGAGGTTTTATTAATTTCTGTTTTGTTGATTTTTTTCTCTGGATCCTTGTTTTTGTTATTTCGTTAACTTTGATTTCATCCCACCTTCCTGCCATTTTTTTTTTTTTTGAAACGGAGTTTCTCTCAGTTGCCCAGGCTGGAGTGCAGTGGTGTGATACCAGCTCACTGCAATCTCTGCCTCTCAGGTTCAAGCAATTCTCCTGCCTCAGCCACCCAAGCAGCTGGGACTACAGTTGTGTGCCACCATGTCCGGGTAGTTTTTTGTATTTTAGTAGAGACAGGGTTTCACCATATTGGTAGGGCTGATCTCGAACTCCTGACCTCAAGTGATCCACCCACCTTGGCCTCCCAAAGTGTTGGGATTACAGACTTGAACCATTGCGCCGGGCTACATTTTGCTCTTTTTTTTTTTTTAAACTATATTAAGGTAAAAAGCCGAAGCCATTGATTTAAGAACTTTTTTCCTTTCTAACAGAGATGTTTAATGCTATACTGTTGTCCTTTAGCGGTGTTAAAAATTTTGATATATTTTATTTTCAGAATGCTTTATAATTTGCTGTTTGATTTCTTCTTTGAGTTATGGTTATTTAGGACTATTTTGTTTTTGAGTAGGGACTTAACTTAGATCGTTCTGTTATTTTATTTCGATTTACTTTGTCACCAGAGAACATAACTTTGAATAACTTGATTTTCTTTAATTTATTGACTTTTGTTTTGTAGCCCATAATGTTGTCTATCATGATAAAGGTGCTTTGTCCCTAGAAAAGGATGTATATTCTGCTGTTCTCTGGTAGAATATTCTCTAAATGTTAATTAGGTCAAGTTAATCGATAGTGTTGATCAGATCTTGTATATCCTTACTGATTTGCCATCCACTTGTTCTATCAAATATTGCGAGAAGGATATTGAAATATCTTAATACAATTGTGTCTGTCCTTGTAGTTTTATCATTTTTTTGCCTGTGTGTTTTAAAGCTCTGCTAATAGGTTCATAGATGGTCAGAATTAGTATGTTCTCTTGATGATTTGACACTTTGTCATTATAAAATGACCATCCCTTGTGGTATTTTTCGGACTGCAGAATACTTTCTTTGATATTAATATAGCCATTCTGTCTTAATTTTGATAGCATGATATCTTTTCCCAAATGTTTACTTTAAATATCTTAATATTTTTATATTAGAAATGTATTTCTAATAGCATATAATTGGATCTTGCTTTTTTTTTTTTGTTCCCTGTCTGAAATGTCTGCTTCTCATTTGAGATATTTAAATCATTTGCGTTTAATGTGATTATTGGTATGTTTTGGTTTGAATCCGTCATCCTACTATTTATTTCCTATTTGTTTCATCTGTTATTGATTTCCCCTTTTCTCTTTTTTCCTGCCCTCTTTCTTTTATTCTGCCTTTGGATTAATTGAATTTTTTAAAAGATTTGATTTATTTCTTTTGTTGGTTTATTCATTTTAACTTTGCTTTTTTAATTTA